ATGTGGATTTAAAGGACAACTCACCCTCAAATCCACTTTTTTTTGTGCTGATAAACGGTATAAATGAGTGTCCAATAGTGTTGTCTACATATCCTGGTCATAATTTTGTCACTTTGGTGCAAATTAGTTGAAAGTTAAACTTTCTGCCTAAAACCATCTGTGAGGCGCCATCTGCTGGCGACCTGTATTACTACATTTGAATTTTGAATCTGGCGCCTGAGACCTGACGTCAGCAGCCCCCCGCCCAGAGCTATATAAACGGCCCAGTCTCGTTCACGCCCCCTTTAGTCCTCCAGGCTATGCCCATTTAAGATTTGAACAGGAAATGTGAGTGACGTAAGCTCCGAGGAGCGGGGGTGAGAACCACTTTAACAAAAACTGAAGGATTTAAGAAGAAAAAAAGTTCAGGATGACAAGGGACACTAAAATCCCCAGAAAATCCGAACTTTATGAAAGCTGTGGGTTCTCTGTCAGGTTCTCTGTCAGCTGAGGTCGAGCTGTTTTAATTTACATTGAGTTCTATGGGACTTTTTCTGGGTAGCCCTCGTGAATTTAGTCTGCAGTAGAGCCCTGCACGGGCCTATTATCTGGGCCCGAGCCCGGCCCTGGCCCGAAGGGGTGGAGCCCCAGCCCGGCCCGGCCCGATATGGTTTCTGAATTTTCAGGCCCAAAACCCGCATCAAGCCCGACTTTTTTTTTTTTTGTAACCTCCCATAACAATGTTTTAGCGTAGTATATAGTGCCGCGCACTGATATGAACGCAGACTTAGCTAGAGGGCGGAGTTATACATGGTAGTGATGTGTTGCAATGAGTTCTGTGTGTGCGGAGTGGTGCAGAGTGAACGGCCGCAGCTGTATGATGCCCAGATGCTGCAACACACCTGTAAGTAACGCTATGTGCCGTCAATGACAACACTACACAGAACAACAAACACTACAGCGTGATAGAACGCTATATTCAGTGGGTGCGTTCGTAAATGTATTCTGCCGCTCTGAAAATGAAGAGCCCGAGCCCGGCCCGTGTCCGAGGTCATTATGCGGTCATCGGCCCGAAGCCCGGCCCTCGGGCTGTCGGGCCGTCGGGGCCCTCGGGCCAAGGGCTCGAGTGCAGGGCTCTAGTCTGCAGTACCACAGCGCCCCCTGTGCCCATGGGTGGGACAGCTATAAGCTAGGAATACACTATCCAGTTATTATTATAGTTCCATGGTTGTGCCACAGGTGCGTTGTATACATGGATCTATTATAATAACTGGATAGGGTATTACTAGCTTGTAGCTCGGGAGATTCTCGTGGTACTGCAAACTAAATTCACGTGGGCTACCCAGAAATTGTCCCCATAGAACTCAATGTAAACTAAAACAGCTCGACCTCAGCTGACAGAGAACCTACAGCTTTCATAAAGGTCGGATTTTGTGGGGCTTTTAGTGTCCCTTGTCATCCTGAACTTTTTTTCTTCTTAAATCCTTCAGTTTTCTTTAAATCCACATTTTACTGCCACAAACTCTACTCGTTGGGCTCTTACTCCCGCTCTAACTCTCGCTCTGATCAGCAGCTCTGATTGGTCAGAGCGCGGCCCCTATGTGCACGTGCATGACAGCCACGCACGCGTATTTGGCGCAAAGCATCATGGGAGCTCGTCAACTGCGCAGAACCGGGAGGACCAGACGATGCCCAAAAATAGGCGAGTTCCGCTAATAGGGGTGTGACGATACTTTCTCCCGCGATTCGATTATCGATATGCATTTGCCAAGTATCAATATCAATTTTGAAAAAAAAATAAAAAAATGTTTTTTTTTCTCCTTTTTTTTCGTTTTTATTGGTATCAATACTTAATATATGGCTACATTACGCATCTCCATTCTATTTATCATGAAATAAAGAGTATTTTTTATTTTATTTATGCCATAAATTGGCATATTGTATATTTCTGACCAATATATCAATAATCGTCATATCGTGATAAAATCGTTATTGTAATCTTTATCGTGAGCTTTGTATCGTGTATCGTATTGTATCGTGAGGTACCCTTAGGTTCCCACCCCTGTCCGCTAATCTCTCAGGCTCGTGAAGTCAGTTGATTCACTGTTTTGCCAAAGCCAAATTCATTAACAGAGCAGGGTGGAGCATGAGTGGGTTCATCATGGCTCCTTGAAGTTACTAACAAACTTTTGGCACAAACTTAATTTTGATATTTTTTTTCATTTAGACTTTAATTGTTGCTGTTTGAATAAATAAAAACATCTTAGATCATTGTTGTGTTTTTTTCTGCATTAACAAAAATGCTTCTTGCTTTAGATTAAGGTACTGCAAAATAGTGTAATAAGCAGTTTATTAACGCATATTTTTAGTGGCCTATTACCACTATTGCCTATTAATAAGCAGCGTATTAATATCTTTATAGGCATATTGTTAGTGGCCTATTAACATGGTATCGATAATAGTTTAATAAGCAGCTTATTCATATATTTATAAACATATTCCTCCTGTAATAAGTATCTTACTAATTACTTATTAAATGCTTAAAAGCATATAACTAGAACAACATCATTTAGAGAATAGTGAAATGAGCAGCTTATTAATATGTTTATAAGTACATATAAGCAATATATAAGCATGTTGCTAATGTCTATTAATACCTTAATAATACTTAACAAGCACACCTTAATATAAAGCGTTACCAAAACATCTAATACATATATTTATATACATCATACACATAATGTCATTTTACTGTATTTATTATCGTCTTTATCAATAATGCGCACTCTTCAGCCGGTTATTACAATCGCAGCTGTAGTTTCAACATGTACACACAGAGGAGTGAGATCTCTGGCGATCTTTGGCAGTCCCCGTGTGTTTGTACCTCACAGCTGTTTGTACCTCACGGGTCACCGCTAGGATCCGATTGGACACGGATTTTCAGACAAACGTAATTTATCCTCCGTGCATCGCACAGACAAATCAAAACTAGTGAATTAGCCCTAAATATGTACTTCACAGAGGGAAAAAAAATAAGTTGCTACGTTTTACCGTTCGCGAGTAAATTGATAATTTGTAAAACATGTGCGCATGTATCGTTGACGATACAGATGGGTTCATTTAAACAGTGTGGAACGACTTTGTTTGATAATAAAAATAGGAACCAGTTTTCACCAAACAAACTGGTACCCCAAAAGAGAGTCTGATTCTGCTCTCTGATTGGATAATCTGCTTGAAAACCAATAAATGTAGATATCATGGACACCATTCCCATTGTGTTTTTAATAAAATAACTGAAAGGTTGGTTCAGAAAAGGTCCTATTATGGTTTGTGCAGGTATACCTATTATCTGGGGATGCATAAAAGACAGTATGTAGTATTCTCTAAGATGAGAATACTACTGTCTCTTTATAATGTTAAACTATTTAACGGAAGAAATAAAAACATGTTTGAACCCGATTCCATTTCAAGTACTGAAGAAGTCTGTGTAGGAAAGAGAGCGATGCCTTCAGCACAAAGTGAGTGTAGAGAGGTGTAGGGTCAGAGAGTTTGGGCCTGAGTCTTGTCTGAGTGTGTTGTCTAATACCATCAGTGTAATTGTCCTGTAACTGTAATTAATGGAAAGTATTATACTGTCATGTTTTACTGTTATATATTTTGTCTTGTGTTGAATTAATGATTGGGATTCCAAAATATATAAGCGTTGACTTCATCCAACCTTTTCAAATATGAACTTTATGCAGGTTTGACATAAATAATTTATCCAACTAGGATTTTCTCTAAAAAGCCTTCTCTGCATGTACACGGCTTTGGATCAGTGGTTTTGGATAACCAGATGCCCACACGGTGTCTTTGGGTAGCGATTTTGGCACGAGAGAATCTCATTAGCCGCGTACTGCTGCAGCTGCTACCGCTCAGCTAGAGAGCGACGCACATCTGGGCTAAGTTAGTGCAGCCACATGGCCAAGGTTAGCGTGATGTCGGCTAAACTGGGAAGGATGGTGAGGAGTGGGGAGGAGGGGCTACCTGGACTGCCCAAGAGGTCATCCACTCATTTTGACTCATTCTCTCATGGATGGGTTTGGCATTTGTAGCCTATGAAATCGTATTTAGGAGACCTGTATAGTAACTACATTTTGTAATTTGACTTTTTAATAGGTTAAGTTCAATTGTAGAATTGTATTTCAGTTGCAGGGCAGGTACCAATACAATTCTGTGGGAAAGAATACCTTTTTGAAAGAAAGAAAGTGTGAAATTGTTTTCCCACATTATTTGATAGTGATTAGATTCACAAACCCATCATATTATTCATGTCTGAAAGTCCTTTCTACTGGGCGACGAGAGCAACCCAGTCTCTGAAAAAAAGGTGGAAACGGCTATTTGAGCTGGTAATATGTTTAAAAAAAAATCTTTCCGTTCCATGTGAGAATATTTGTAAGTATATTGCGTTTTGTGTGTGTCTAAAACGCTACCATGGATGTAAAGGATTTCAGGACTTGATGGTTTTAAGGTTTGACCTAATATACCTGCCATAGATGTGGGTCATGAATAACACGACATGTTTTTTTTTCGGGAGACTAGGTTAACCTGAGGCGTAGGTTTTTGAATATTCTCACCACATCTTGGCACCTTTATGAGAAAACAGAATAGACCAAAGTTAATCTGCGCTGACAAAGAGGTGGCACTTTATGAAAGTTTTGGCCCAAGGATTATAGAGAAACTAGTTTAAAAGACTAAAAATCTGACAGTTACCAGGCAAGATTTTTCAGCTGTCCTCCTCCACAATGGTAGACTATAGATCTATAGAACTATTGCGATGTCATTTGAACGCAAACTATTATATTACGTAGACGTTTTAAACCAAGTTTGACTGCACGATTGCAATGTATTGTCTAGCAGAGGCGCATAGTGCGATTTATGTGTAAAAAGGTCAGTGACTTCCACATGTGTGAGTGTGAGTGGCTGATGAGAGATGGACACAGCTAAAACAGCACAAATAAACACAATGATTCGGGGCTCACCAGGTTCTCCTCTTCGTCCTATGCGTCCTCGTTTTCCCGGAGGTCCTGCGAAAACAAACAGAGGAGACGATAAATCCCACTGAAAATGAGTTTCAGACGGGGATGAGTGAGGAGCTGCTGGTGTGTTGTCTGGCTGTTGTGTTGTGTGATCTGGCAACCAGAGCCGACTCTTCAGCAAGTGGCTCTGAAAACACGGCTGATAAAATATGGGAAGTCACAATATCATGTTGGAGCTACAAACACAGTCAAAATACATGACATATTTTGTCTGTTATGTGTCGTGAGATCAACTCAATGAAAGCAAGCGGAGGGACGTATGTATGAACCATAGACTGTAGATATTAGTATGACCAGAATTAAACCTGGGGTACCTCTCTCTTGTATTTCATAATCACTACATTTTGTTTGGCCCAACGAAGCAATGCTTGAAAACAGAAAGCTGCTGTGAACTTGGGAAGAAATCAGACCACATGCTGTCTTCATCTTTAGCATCAAATGTTCTAATATATGTGGCATTCTTGTGAGAAAGAACCCTGGGAGTCACTATTTGACATTTTGGGCTGAGAGCTGATTAGCTAAGAGGTCCTCGGTTATCTTTGTTTTTCTGTCAGGAAAAGTTGATGTGACAGGGGCAAAAATATATGCAAAGATAGGGTCTAGGGTCTATGGATTTCATTACATTTGTGTTGTTTGAAAGTTAGGTACCCCACCTTTAATTGAATAGAAATGACCTGTCAAGTCAAATAACACTTTTGGCCCATACCATTTCTTATGTTTTTAGATTTGGCCCCATGAGTTTGACACCCCTGATGTAATGCATCATATTGTGAACTGTCCATGTTCACAACCAATAACATCCACTTTATTATGTCAATCATTCATGGAACATCAAGTCAACATTTTTACTGACGTGGGAGTTACACATGTACTTTATTTAAAACTGGTATTACTTGTTCTAAAGAAGAAACAAACACACCAAGATGTTACCAACTCCAACTAAAGAAATCAAAACTAAGGTGTAAAGGCATATAGTAAATATGGCAGGCGCAGATCAGTACAGTTATAGGCTACAGTGGATCCATGCAGAAAGGAAATGAAAGCTGAAACATGGATGAACTGGGTCAAAACTGGGTCATAAGCAGATCATCTCGACAGTACAGTAAAGACACCAACAGCTGCAGGAACACAGAAAGCCAACGACCCAGGCAAGTGTTAACGACACAATTTCACATGGTCTGAAAGAAGTTTACGACTCTAACTCTACTCTTGGAACAGTCTCTGACTTCACTCTGCAGTGTTTTTGTGATAAAAGGTTTTGGATCACAGATGATGAATATGTGCTGCACTGTGGCGGAAGCAGAGATGATGTGGCCACTGAAGAGGTCGAGCTGGACTCACAAACCTCCTGCTGCTTTGGCGTCCCATGAATCAAAGCCAGACCAGCACTTTGCAACGGTGCATACGCTCAACACAGCAGTTCAGAAGGATCGTCTTTGATATTCAGACGTTCAGTCATAATATGGAGGTTTGATTCAGATATCAACAGGTTTGACTAGATCTAATTCTATAACATCTTGTACAGGATCTTGCACATGGACAAAGACCCCAAAATAACTATGATATATACACAGTTAATGAATTACAACCATTTTATTGTGACCATTTTTTAAAGAAACATTTCTTTAAGTTATTTTTTTACTTTACATTTCTTGATATTTACTAAGAAGGTTTAATGCATCTGTCACTTGCATAACAACTAGGGGTGGGAACCTAAGGGTACCTCACGATACGATACGATACACGATACAAAGCACACGATAACGATATTATCACGATAACAATATTATCACGATAACGATATTACGATAACGATTTTATCACATTATGACGATTATTGATATATTGGTCAGAAATATACAATATGCCAATTTATAGCATAAATAAAAGAAAAAATACTCTTTATTTCATGATAAATAGAATGGAGATGCGTAATGTAGCCATATATTAAGTATTGATACCAATTCAAAAAAAATTTTTTTTAAATTGATATCGATACTTGGCAAATGCATATCGATAATCGAATCCCGGGAGAAAGTATCGCGAAAAATCGATATATCGCCACACCCCTAATAACAACACAGATTATCAACAATACATACATTTGTGGAACTTGTGTGTCTATTTAGTTATTGAATTTACATGAAAAATATGTTTGCTTTTGCTCTTTGAAAATCTGTTTTCTGTGTGTGTGTGTGTGTGTGTGTGTGAGTGCACGTGTGTTTGTGTTTGTGCTTGCATGTGTGTGTCATTGTCTATTGTTATAGTGTTCCATGAACAAGTCTGGGCCGCAATGAGAGATATGTGACTAAATTAAAAACACAAATAAAAAGAGAAATCCACTCATATAAACTCGCTCCAAACATGTAAACAGATTTAGTAGACGCTTATTTTTCCCCCTTGGTCTTTTGTATAAAAGACAACAACCGTGTAACTGGGAATGTCTTTGTATATGAACCTTTTGCACTTCAGACTGTAAACTGTTCTAGAGGCTGAGTATAATCAAACAATTTTACAACATAATAGTTCCACCGCATATAAAACATTACCAATTCGTACTCTGAGGAGCACAGGGACTGGCCTCCTGCTGGTGCCCTAAACAGAACTAAACATGGAGAGGCTGCATTTTAGATTCATGCTGCTAAAATCTGGAACAATCTTCCTGAAAATGTGAGACAGGCTGATAATGTTTGAATCCAGGTTAAAAACAGTTCTATTTAGCTGTGCATACAAATGAGGGATTTCATATTTATTAGTGTTCCTTTTATTGTGTTGTGATTATTTATGATTTGAAATCCCTTGTGCGATTGTATATACAATCATAACAATAACAACAATAACAACTAATCACCGAAATGACAATAAAGGGTCAGATTTCTCGCTTCAAATGTTGTCTAAAGTACAGTATATATATATATATATATATATATTTTTATCTCTGTCTGGGCCCTTATACGTGACTAGTTTGCCTATTGGGTTAATCCGGCACTGGCGTCACCCTTCTGTGCACAGCTATATCATTCAAAGGTGTACAATTACTCACTACCACTTACTATTTGGTCTTGAATGTACATAGCTGCCATCCTATTTGAGGATATGTAACACAAAGTACAAAACATACATTTCATTGCATCCTAAATCCGTATAATAAAAACACTTTTCCTGCCCCATGCTGCGTGCCCTGTTGCCCATCCGCCCGCACTAAACCGCAGTGGTTAAGAAATAGGAACCATACTGGGCACAACTCCTAATCTTAAGTGCTTTTGGCTGCAGACATGTTTCCCCTATTGTCATTATTGGAGTTATTGTAGCGGCCTAATCATTTCCTTACTTTTTTTTTTGTTAAGTGTGTGGCTTTACCTTTTCCTCATGTCTGATACTATACAACTTTTACCATAAAGCAGGTATTTTACATAATTACTGTTGCCAGAAAATCAGCACCAAACACAGCTGTGCCGCTCCCTCTGTTTCCATATAAGTAATTGTTCCAATCAAACACCTCTAACTGTTCAATCGTCAGGTGCCAATTCCACTTAACGCTCTGGTTTTGCCGACCGCAGCATTTATAATAATAGCCTCCATATTTCTGAGTGGGCGGGACTTCCCCTTTAACGCCGTAAACAGTGGGTTAGCTTTTCCCTACAGCGGAGATGTCCAGTCTCACAAGAAAAAGGCACGGCGACGTTGGCCTGTTATTTCAGCTGCAAGATATAATGAGATAAGATAATGTAAAATAATTGGAATAGAGTCAAATCTGCAATTATGTAAGCTACTCTTCCTCATAAACAAAAACCATGTCTGTAATGCTAACCATAGTTGACATGATTCTTGTTACTCATATAGTTCTGTCTTCTCAAAATCATAAAATCTCCTGGAAAAGTTGAACAAAGTATAAAACGATAACAATAAACATGTCAAGGGAAAATTTGTAATACATTTTAAACTCACTTTCTGGCAAAGGCAAAAAGCTTGTTCGTATTCTGACATTTTTGATCATTATCAGTGATGGGCTGTAGTGAACAATTCTTTTGATAATAATTCAAATAATCAAACAGTTCAAACGCATTGAATTGTTTGATTCTCTTATCTGTTTTTGGTGAATCGGCAGCGTTGTAAAGTCCTCAGAGAAAACCTCTGTTTTTATTTAATACAATTCAATTACATTTATTTTTGTATAGTTTTGACAGTAGTTCTCTTGGAAGATTTCACAAAACCGTTGAATTCACCGTCACAGAATCAAACAAGATAAAAAACACATAGAACCATAGGTCCATAACGGGCGATGACCAATGTCCGTATTACATGAAGATAAATGTCCATAAAAGTTAGGGGTGTCACCATTTCGATTTTTTTTAATCAAAATGTATCAAAATTACATTATGGTCCTGTTCATCGAAAGAGAGATTATCCACGATCACCTCTCGCCAGGTTTACATACATTAGGGAGGTGTGCAAAGATATGAGCCGCCGCCACTAGTTAACGCTACCTGACTTGCAGTTTATGACACCATGGCAAGTGCAGATAAAGACTTGAGCATCTCGGTGTCATCAATACTAATTTAGCTGACAACTATTTCAATAATCAATTAGTTACAAATAATGTATAATCTTGTTACAGCCTCGCTCCGTACAATACAACTATGTCCATTTGCATGACATAGAAACACACACACAGTCTCACAGTTCACAGTTGTAAGTGCAGACATTTCAGAACGTTTCGACCCCTAGAACAGGAAAATGCATTATGGGATACGGCTCACAAGGGGCCAGGCCTGTTCTTCCTTAATTTGAGGCATGAAAGGCAGCCGTCGCCATGTTGTCAAGTCCAGCAGCCGAGAGCTGGACGTCTTAGCGCCACCTTGAACAGGCACAGGTCACTGAGTCCATATTGTTTTAAGGGAACAGTTTAGCGAGACCGAATGAAGGTGGTGACAACCTGATGTAAGACTGAATCAACCAGCAATATAATGGGAATAACGGCATGGTCCGAGCAGATGGGGCTTTGGGCGGGACGCAGGAGTGGGCCACGGGTGCAGCTCTGCCCCGGGGCTAATGAGGGGAAACAGTCGTACAAATAAACAGGGCGGTACATGGTGTCGGCCACTTCTGGGAGCGGGAGTGAGCCAATGAGGGGGTACATCCAGGACACGACGGGGACTGCTTTATGTAGAACTGATATCTCACATCAACACAAGGCTTGCTATATATTTGAGTAGTTTCATACAGTGTTGGGATGTTCTCCGGGTGCTCCGGTTTCCTCTACCACTAAAACTAATGTACAATAGGTCTGGCATGCGCCTCCTGTACAGTGACTCCGCCTCCATCGCTGAGTGGAGTGAGAGGAAAAACGGCCACAACATTTGAAAAGTGTTTTGTGACTGAGCTCACTTTTTAGTGCACTCATTGTTTTCAGGGGTATGTCTTCAGTTGCCCTAATAGCTTTCAAAGTCAATAAAATATAGGTTCACAGACTTAAGGGCCACTGCAGCCTGGGGGGTCAGCTACCTGCTCCATAATGACGTTAATGATAGTCTTCCCTAAAGTGTGATTGTCAGAAACAAAGAACCAGGCTAAGAGAGAGATCAGAACTGACATTTGTTTGAGCCATAAATATACCTCTAGAAGGTTAAAAAAAAAGAAATGGACTGATGTTCAAGTATTGCCTGTATTAAAACAGACAGGAAAAAGTACTCTTTGGTTGTGAGACCTTGAGTTAAAGCACACATGTCTGACTTGATTGATACAACGCAGATAGGAAACCACAAATAAGTGAACACATGTGACACTTGAGTGTGCTGCTGAACGAGCTTGTCCTTCACTGGTGCCGGTGTTGAAAGTCCCCCCAAGGAGACAGAGATGGCCCCTTCTCAAATATCAAACCGCATTACATCCTGTATACGTACACATCTATGGAGGACGCACATAAACAATGACAATCTTATATGAAATCACTCTGGGAACAGTCGGATCGGCAGAGACCACACTGTGCTTGAACTCTGTTAGCTGGGCATCCTATTGTATTCATGTTTGATTTGGATGTAGAAAAAAAATACTTTCTCTGTGTGCGGCTGGGCTTCAAATGGTTGACAGCAAGCCAAATATTAAAGACGGTCTTCCCAAAAGACTTTAGATTTTGTCAGTGTCAAAAACCTCCATCTGAAATGCACTTGGACCTGTGCCGAAATGGACTAGAGCCAGCGTCTATCATTAAGCCGGTTCTAAGGCTGAGACTGCGCAATTGTTTCTGAAAAATTACCTCAATCACCACAAGCACCCAACATTTCAATCAGTGCCAATTAAATGCGCTGCTCTTTGACATTTTCTTTTATTACTCCGACATGAAAAAAAGCCCTGCCCCACAAAACAGCCCATTTAGACAATCTGTACAATGTGGACATCGTTTGGAGAAATTGAACAGAACTTTTATGGGCCATGGACGATGGAAGGCCAACAAGGCTTGCAGTAATTGGTTTATGTGGTTGTGTGCGGATTTCTCTATCACCAGAAATCCACGGTGATCCTTTTGTTACAGGTCTGAACTGTGGAGAGCCCACCAATATTGACCAATTTTGATTTATCTATGCTGATATTTCATTTATTTAATTTTTACTAGTGAATTTATCATTGCATTAATCCATCCATCCATTTTCTGCCGGATCATTCGTTGCCGGATTGCGGGGGCAGCAGTCTAAGCAGAGACCCCAGACTTTTCTATCCACACACACTTCCTCCAGCGTCCTATTGCATTTCATAGTTTGTAATCATTCGACCAGTCAATTAGCCAATTTGTTGTTGGGAACTAAGTGCTTTTCAAATACAATTGAATTTAATTATAAGTGACATTATTAGTATACTTCAGAGAAACAACAATGATACAACTCAACTCAAAATTTATTAAAATAACAAATCCCTTAATTTGGATGAAGTCACATCACATACAAAGCTGCAGCTGTTACTTGGGGAATCTCTCCAATGCTGCTGTTACATAATATCCTTTGCCAGTACAGTGAGAGCTATTATGTGTTTGATTTTTAGATAAACATATTCTTCAAACATTACCAAATGTATTATTATTCACAAATTTGACGCCAATATTTTCACTTTTACTGCAAATTAATATTGGCTATACATATCCGTTATCGGCATCCTTGATTACTAATTATCAGTATTGGCCCTGAAATGTTTTTATTGGTCGACCCCAAACCCAAATACAACATAAGTTTATAAGTAATCTGTAATCCATCACCTTTATCTTTCTTAATTCATCTGTTTTGCATCAGTTTTCCATAGCTGCCGATTCTTGATGTAGTAAATGTGACATTTCTCACAAACAATGGGCTCCCACAGAACAAAGCCGGTGCACTCTCCCCTTTCTCCATAAGGACTCATTTTGTTTAACCCAAACCACAGGGGACTGAAAAGACCCCCTGAAAATATCAGAACTCGATAGCCGAGCTGCGATACTGAAACGCCCTTTTTGCTCTACTGTTACAGGCGCTGGTCCAAAATAAAGAACATTTGATTTGTATCACGTCTAAGTGGTTAAAGTACAGTAGAAATCTTGATTGTAAGTTATAGCTGAGGGTGGTTTGGCACAGGTAGAGGCCATGGTCAGAAAAGTGGACATTCTGTGCTCAACCATTTAAATCATCAATCAATCAATCAAGAGCACATTTAAAACCACCTAGGCTTATCAAAGTGCTGTACAGACAGAAAAAAACAGCACACACAAAACATACAGAAATATATAAACACATAAAAACCAAATATTTGTCTTTCTACTTGGTATTAATGGCCAAAAAGAAAAAGTGTCTGCATCAGTAGGTAACTTTCTGAAGTTTCTGAAATTTTCAGAACCTCTTCTTTCTGAAAAATACTTTATGATTCATCGTAACTTTTATCGCAGCACCATTGAGAGTGTACTTGTTGGTTCTGTGATGGTGTTGTTTGGCAGCATCACAGCCAAAGAAAGTAGAGCTCTAAACAAGGTGGTCTGCTCTGCTAAAAGGACAGTGAGCTATCGGTACTGGAGGTTCTTGGGTCCAGACTCTAAAATTGAACTCTGAATTATCATCCTGGGAAGGCCATGTTCCAGCTCCCCTCTGGGAGGAGATATCGTTTCTTGATAAGCAGGACATCTCACCATGCAAATAGTCCCCTCACACTCAGATTATTATACTTATAATATATATCATGAAAAATCCCATTCCAAGTGAAAGAAAACACATTATATTTTTAAAGGCTCCATCCTGGAACGTCAAGTTAAAATCACAGCTTTTAAAGATAATTACGTATTACAGCTATTACGTATCTACTTTGAATTTATTGAATAATAAGTGTGGCATTCAATTCAGACCATTTTCCCTCTGTTTTATTTTTTCATGATTAATGATGGATTAAACTGCAGTCTTTCCAAATCCCAACACAAAGTATTCTCATAAAAGCAGAGGATTTCCGGTCAGATAGAGCCTCGTCCCATGCTGTTTACTCACACACTTTGAGCTTATTGGATATTTAGACGAGATGACGGCAGCTGTTATGTCTTTGTGCACTAAACAAAACTACTTTCCCTTAAACTTCTGCTGATCTTTCACCGTCTGCTTCATTGTTTGTCCAACTTTTGTTCCAGATCGTTGGAGGACACATGCTGCGGACGTAAACAGCCCAAAAGGAGAGATTCCAGGATGGGACAGATGGAGGAGGTGATTCACTCGGGTCAGTCCAGGTTCGCGCCCCTCTGCACAGTAGGCACCGCTGACCTGATCTCAGCCTAATCCCATAAAAATGTCCTGCGTGCCGTCAGGGCATAAAGTTTGACTCGAATCGAAACATCTTTCATATGTGCATGCCATCTTTTTTTTTACAAATTACAACTGGAAAATCCGTCTTTATGGGGCTTCATAAAGATTTATCAATACAGAGGTGAATGATGATGGGTCAGTACTGTTCTGTTGTCGTTCTGCCAGGAATGTTACAGAGTATGGGCTAAAACATATTAATCCATTCTACATTTAAGAAATCTTAAATTACATGTTGTATCTGTGAAGAGTCAAGTCTGATAATATAAGAATGAGTGCGTTTTCAAAGCACTAGTGAAAACTGAATTCTCTTCCTACTCAAATTAAACCCATAACATTTGTGGACATTCATCAACACTTATGGACATTGGTAATCTGCCCCTTATGGACCAATACCAATGTGTTTACTGTTTAATGTCTTGTGTTTGAACTGTTTGATTCTCTGATCTGTGTTGGCAAATTCAACGGTTGTGTAATGTCCTCTGAGATAACTACTGTTGTGATTTAGGGCGATACATGAATTTAATTGAATCTGATTGATAAAGACACATTTTAACCCCAAATTAATGGAAGATGTATGTATATCATTCTTCAGTTCTTTTACATATCAATGTTTTGGCGGCTCAAAAACCTGGATTCTTAGATTGATTGCGCCCTGCAGAGAAGCATACATTATCCAACGTCCGCAGGGCTCTAAAAAGCGCCATGGCTCCTGTTAAGTTTCGTGTCAGAAAAAATCCCGAACGAAACGAGTGAGTCTCCTATATCTGTCCAAATACATACATTTCTTGCACAAGTTTGGCTTTTCCCTGTGCGCTTGAATGCATCACTGCACATTGTTTCATTCCCATCTGATTGAAATGTATACATGCAGCTCAACCGCATTAGCTCAAACAGACTGGTTTTACACACAGTTTATATGCGTCTTTATCAATGGGGTTAAATTGGAGTGAGGGAAGAATCTGGATTTCACTGGTGCTTTGTAAACATACTCAATGCGGTCCTCTTTGTAAACAGGGCTCCATATCCCCACATGACCTCCTCTTTCATTTCAGCCACACTGCACCTTACTCCTTCTTAAAATAACTTCCTGCCTCTTAGGTGATTAAACGTGACATTATCAACCGGGATTTCTCCATGCAAATATCACTGCTCAGTGTGTAAAAGCAGCAGCAGCATTGATCAGAGTGCTGTAACAGGTGTTGGTCATGATGAAGGGATGCCCCGTTCCCACAGCGGAGGTCAGGCGTGCAGGCTAAATACGAAGCCCCCGTGGTCGTACCTTGGCTTCCTGTGTGAGGTGTTTAAGAGTTGCGTGACTGTACATTGAGTGTGTGTGTGC